TCAGGCCCCTCCACTTTTGCAAGCCAGACTGGGGGTCTCTGCTTGGCCGGCAGGCCGCCCCTCCGCCTCAGCTCCCTCCCGCCAGTCCGTGGAGTGCGCACCGCCTCGCCGCCCTTCCTACCCTCTTCCGTGGGCTTCTCGTCTGCGCTTGGCTCCAGAGACCCCGTTCTGCTAGTCTTCTGGCAGTTTTCTGGATTATTTAGGCAGGTGTAGGTGGAATCTAAGTGATCAGCAGGATGCGCGGTGAGCCCAGCGTCCTCCTACGCCGCCATCTTCCAGTGATCTCTATTTTCTCTTTTAGTTTTAGGTGTTTTATACCAGGAGGGGTTTTCTACATATCCAGCCAGGCAGATTTCTCTGTTAATGTGTCTATTTTAAAGTTATAACAGATGGTATACATTCTTTCTGCCTCTTGTTTTGATCATCCAGTATTGTTTTCAAGACCTCTTTAGGTATGATAGAAAAGTTGATCTAATTTATTCATTGTAACAATCATCCTTTGTGTGACTGATACATTTTACTCAGTGATGGACCTTTGGGTTGTTTGAAGTTTTTTTGGTATCATAAACAATTCTGCATTGAAATGAGATGTCTGTGCATCGAAAAAGAGTTTCTCTAGGCTCCCTACACAGCAGGTCATATGATAGATACATCTTTGATTTGATGCTACCACATTGCTCTTCCACTTGGTTATTAGAATTTACATTTATTTTATTTTATATTTTTAAAGTTTATTTACTTTGAGAGAGAGATCTGGGGAGGGGTAGAGAGGTGGGGGGAGAGAGAGAAGGAGGGAGAGAGAGAGAGAGAGAGAGAGAGAGAGAGAGAGAGAGAGAGAGAGGAAATCCTAAGCAGGCTCCACACTGCCAGCATGGAGCCTCTTGGAAAAGACTATTTAGGTATCCTCTTTTTATTGTCAGTTCATGCATATTCTTTTGCTTATTTTACTGTTGAGTTGTTTTTATCTCTTACTCTTTAAAAGAGTTCTACATGTTCTTTAGATACTCTCTTTGTAATACACATTGTTAATATCTTCCAGTATGCTCCGTTTTACTATTCACTAGATATACTTGCCTTACATTGTTTCACCAGAATTTATATGCTAGACTTCTCTACTGAGTCTTACTTGGTATGATCAGGTGCTTATTGGACATTTTACCTTGATGTCTAGTACTGTCTCTGCATCACTTTTTTTAGAAGTAGACCATATTGTTTCCTCTGTCAATTTACCTTCTTGTTCATATTCTGAGTCTCAATTATGCATACCATTGTTCACCCAGTCTGTGAAACTAGACACCCAAGGGTCATTTTAAAGTCTCTTTCCTTTGTTCTCCATTGCAATCCACATTCAAGTCTTTCCAATTTACTGCCTGAATGTTAAAAAAAAAAAAAAATCTCTCCTTTAATAACCTGAAGAAATGGTACTAAGGTAAGTAATAGATTCTGAGGATATTGTAAAAATGGAATAAGCTAGCCAAAGGTTAAACTTTGGTAACCATACACTGGAAAATAAGGAGAGAGAGAAATTGAGGCAATTATTAAGAATCATTATTGTACAGTAATTGAGTACTATTGTTTTGGAATTAAACGGACTACGTTCAACTCACCTTTTGTTGTTTGTTTATGAATAATTTTTGAAACATAAATATGTCAAAATGCTAAATGTACTGTGAAGAAAATTTCATTTTCATTGTAAAAATTTTCGTATATTGAAATACTCAGGTCAAGTCATTTTATCTTCAGGACTTGTCTGTGTAGCACTCACTCAGGATCTCTTTCTACTTACTAATTTTCTACTTGCTAATTCACTTAATTCACAGTGAAAGTTCAGACTCTGGGTGGGAAAGAAGAGGAGAGGTGAATTGCAACTGAGCTTTTCACAGTTTGTGTATGTGTGTATACACGTGCAGTGGAGATGGTGGGTTGCAATTCCGTTCGACTCTCACTCCCCATGTAGCGTTAGCTCAGGCATCCCCAACTGTGCTGAGACTTCCAAGTCACTCAGCAATATGAAAAACATACACATATGCCTGCAGGTACATTCATAGGTAATAGTAATAAAAAGGTAGAATTGATTGTATATATGCTTCACCTGTATTTTTCACTCTCTGTTTGAGCTCTGTTTAGGTTTTCAATTATCTGAAGTTTGAGAACATGAGTCTCTAAAAGTATGTGATCCTTTGAATTGAATTTGACTATAGTAAAACTTGCAAATACCTAGTAGAGTTGCTTGTTTACTGGCATGTTTGTTTTCTTAGTTGCTTTAATTGAGATAAAGAAAAGGTACATTAAAATAATCTTTGAGTTTTAGGTTTTGGGAATGTTTTCTGAGGGGAAGTCTTTTTTAGCTTAAATCATCTGACCTCTAGGAGTTTTATACTGCTAAGGTTTTAATTTATTATAGATTCATTGAGGACTATATGGCAAATATATGTGACTTTTTAGATTGCAAATAGTGTTTTAGCTTTTCCTTTCTTTAGAATTGGCTTCATTATTTGAATCTGTCTGGCAATTGTATTATACATGCTATTTTTCACATTAAATAGCCTTAAGAGTGTTATAAATGTTCCAGTGGATGAAACAAAGATATTAATTTTATAACTTCATGGAGACTCACAGCCTGTGGTTAACTGTCAGTTTTGAAAATGACCTAACATTGACATAACAAATAAGAAGTGACAGTTTTTACAATTGTATTACATTTATCTAATACTCCCCCCAACAGATAATTATTTTACTTTGAGTAAGAAAAGAGAAAGCAGACTGACATTTTTTATCCCCTACCATTTATCAGGTGTTATTTAATCTGTATAATCTCATTTTATAACCAAGGAAATGTACTCACAAGGATTTCAGTATTTTACCCAAGGTCACACAGCCAATTAATAGCTGTTAAGTAGGCCTACTATCTTTTCTCTTTTGATAACAACAAAAATTCCAGGTAGTTACAAATTGTAAAGTTTATTTAAATTTTTGAATAATTATAAAAATAAGTTCAGTAAAATATACAAAGTGCAGTGCTCTGGAAAAATGTAACTCATTTTTTTCTCATTTTATTCTTAGGAAATACAATCTTTCTTATGTCCATTAGAGAATTAAAGCATTGACCATCTTGAACTTCCTTCAGATATTAGCCAGCTGGCATGTTTTCCTAGCAAAACATTTTCTGATTTGACCACAAGCTCTCTGAATCAGTTGTTACTGGTTTGAATAATAGAATATGCTGTCATGGTGGGCACCTGATCACAAAAACTGATATCTGGAGTACATTTTTATTTGGATTTAAAATGTTTTTACAATCCCAGTATAAACACTGTTAATCTAGTCAAAACCTTTTCTCACAAGATCAAGAGTTTGCATATTTGAACTAGTCATAGTCCACAGAATGAGAGTAAATTGTACATTTACATTAGGCATACGTTTAATTTATTTTTAATGTGAGGAATGCCATACCAAAATAGTTTTGGAATTTTTGAGATAAAACAATTTAGTTTTGAAACTCTAAATAACTGGATTTATTTAACTTAGATACATTTGGAAATTTAATTGTGTAATTTTTACGGGATTGGGAAGTGAGGTGTACAATTTTAGATTCAATGCTGAGAAATTACAAATCTGACTTACATTTGGGTTATGGATTCAAGGTTTGAGAGTTACTTTTTTTTTTTGTTTTTCATTGAATTAATTTCATGAAATATAATTAATTTTTATAATTTTGGTATAACAGGTCCCTCCAAGGATAGTAAGGGTAATTTTCTTAGTTGTTTCCATACAGATGAGTAAAAAGTTAATTATTTTAAGGCAGTTTGGACATATTGTCTTCAATTTGGATAGTAACTAGACAATGTGGCTTATTTTTATAAAAGAAATATAGATTTGAAAGAAATATAGATTTAATAGAAAGTACTGTATTATTTGGGTCTATTTGATTCTCATTAGTCTTCTTAGGCTAAAGATGATGTTACAATTTTAGTTCCAGTGAATTACAGTTTTATTTATATATCCACCCATCTTTCAGTACAATTAATGGAAAGATCTTGGTGTTATCAGAAACTACTAACATATTAAGGGTACTTAACTGTGAAAGGAGCAACACAATACATTTCACAAAATCACGTATGGATATTTAAAAATATTTGTTATTCATGTTGCTTTGGAAAGGAGTAGTTAGAATTTTTTACTGAATTAGGGCTGGCATATTTTGGAGGGCACCATTACTAATATCTGAGATTAATATTAAGTGGGAGCAGAATGCAATCAATTAAAAAAAAACAAACCTTCAGCTACTGGCATAACATATCATGTTGATATTGAAGAAGAGAAAAAGGACAATTTTGCCTGATTAGGAGCATCCAACAACTTATAGAAAGAAACCTTGGCTTTTTAGAACTTGTTTATAGTTTAGTGTGTCCATGAGCAGGGAAGAATCAAAATTCTCTGACCCAAGGTTTTTCAGCACTGATATTTTGTCTTCCCTGGAATAGTAATGAAAAAACCAAACCATGATTTTTAAAAATTTAGTTTTTATGATCATGTTTTAAGACTAACAGTTGGAATAGTGCGGTATGTGGTAATTCACCATGGCATTGACAGTTTTGAATAAGAGATTAAAAATACATTAGCTGAAAGAGCTGAAAGAAACTAAGTATTAATGGAATGAAATGTTTTCCCATTCGGTAGTACTTAAGTACAGATCTCTGCCCACCCATCCCCCGACTTTGGGTAGGAAAAATTCAGTGAAGAATAACTGTATATTTGCCAATTGTGTCATGCACAAACTTGCCATAGTAGTTTATATTTTTATAAAACCATCAAAATCTTTTTCTTTCATATCTGGTTTTAAAATTATTCCATAGTTAATTTGGATATTCTCTTCAAATCCACAATTCAATGTAGACTTATATAACAAAATTCAATTTGTACTTCCTATCTCAATTATAACTTAATGAATATTCTGGCACCCAACTTTATTTTTTTATTTTTGGCATTGTCTCTTTCAGCACAATGGAGAATTTACAGTTCCTCTCAGTGATGTCTTATTGACCTGGAAATTCTTCCTACATGAGAAGTTGAACTTACCAGTTGAAAATATGGAAGTGATTGACCATTATGAGGACATTAGGAGGACTTACGATGATTTCTTAAAGAATAGTAATATGTTAGATCTGATTGATGTTTATAAAAAATGTAGTGTTTTGATTTCTAATTGTGAAAATAATGCCAACATATCCCCTGTAAGTATTTTTTAAAATCTGTCTTAAATGAAAATTTGGCTAGATTTATTTTTATTTTAAATTATGTTATCAGCATTTATGGTAACTTGATAATGCTTTTGCTTTTCAGATCATGTTAGAAAATGGAAAATTTAGCTACCTGAAAGCTAGTTATTACTGGAAAGAAATATTTTGGTGGTAAATTTTGCTGAAATTCTGTTGTTATTTGGTTGAAATATAAGAACAGCTTTTTACTAGATCAAAAAATTTTAACAAAGTTATCAGTCCCAAATGTGTGATTTCTTTTTGAATTCATTTCAAGGATTGCTTTTCTATTTACTTACTTGGTTTAATGTGCATCTGTTCATTTTGGCATATGTTATATAAATGCTATGACTCGTTCTATGGATTAATAATATTATTTTAATTAGGTGGGATATTTTGTGAGGATAGTATAATGCAATAAACATGAAGTAATACACTATTCCTTTTTTTTTAAACATATACACATATTCATTGCTTTATTTTTTTATTGCATATAAATTTTAAAATTAATGGAATGTTACCCTTTGCAGTTTGGTTTTATCTACATTAGAATTGGTATCTAGTTTGTTTTAAAATGTTGAAATATATTTCTTTACCTTAACATCTACTGGGTACCAATAAAGTAGTAATTAAATAGTAATAACTAAATAATTGTAGATTTATTATATTTTCTAACCTGTTAAAATATTTTATAAATATTTCTGTCTGATACTTGGGAATGGTGTTTTGGCTGCTTGTAATAGAAACCTCTGCAATAGCAGTGGTTTAACGAAATGGAAGTGTATTTCACTCTTTTATAAAAGGTATCTAAAGGTAAGAATCTGGGACTGATGTGATAGCTCTGTGATTATCAGATACCTAGGACTTTTCTGTCATTCTGCTCTTCCATCTTGTTCCTACCCTCTGCCTTCAAGGTCCTTTGTGACAGCTGTTAGAGCTCCAGATCCCGTACTAGCATTCCTTGCATCAAGAAGTGGTAAGGGAGCACAGTATTCTCCTTTCCTTTTAAAGAGACATAGCTCTTTTGCTTCCGTGTCCTTGTCCAGAGCCTAGTCACATGGCCACACCAAGATGTTAGGGAAAATGTAGTCTTTTTTTCCTGCATAACATGCCAGAATAAAAACAAACTCTCTGTTACTGAGAAAGAAGGGGAGAGTGGACATTGGCAGGCAGTTTGCTGTCTTGGCCTCCCTGGGCTATAATGGAACCCTTTGTCCTGTTGTAACTTTCTAAGATGCACATGCATGTGTGTACATGCATACCCACACATACACACCCTTACTATGGTGAAGATATTGTGAGGGAAGATAGTTTGTTTTTTTTTTTTTTTTCCTCCTTACCTATATTTTATTTGCTTGTAGAGATGATTTTTGACTACTTTTCACATAGTTAATTTAATCAAACATTGTATTGGAACAACAAAGAAAATCTTCTGATAAGCCAATGAGAATATAATCTGCCTGAGGTTTTTGGGCACATTGTTTTCATCTTATCCTTTGCCCCTGTTTAAATCTTCTAATAAGCCTCTTCATTTAAGTGAATCACCTATAGTTTGAGATATATAAGTCTACATTGGAGGGAGTTCTGTGTCTCCAGATATCAACATGTTCTTCTGCAGGACATCAGGAGTAGAGTGCAAGCTGCTAAGATGATAGTATGTGAAGTTGAAAATTTTCTGCATTTAAAATGAAAGATTTGATCTCTGATACTTGTTTAGGAAAATTTCCAAAGAGGAAAAAGTGAGCAGGCAAACATATCCCTAGATTGATTCCTCAAAAATGCACTAAATATAACCCTAATTTATGCTAAAAGTGCCTTTAAAGATACATATGCTTATGTGTCTTCTTTGTTTTTTGTTTATTGTAACCTAAATAAGGCAGTAATTATGAGGAACTTAGATAAAGGTAAGACAGGGAAGTTCTGGGAACCTTATAACTTGAACAATGCCCCTTTCCTCTGTATTTCGTACATTATAATTCCTCTCCTAGGGAACATGGATGCAGGGCCTGTGGATATCTGGAGCATACAAGGCCTTGGATTCTAACTAGAGTTTAAGAAGAGACAATTGGTACAGAGTTTGCTTTCTCATGAATTAAGCAATTATCTGGGGGAAATCAGAGCCCTGGGCTGAAGAGAAGAAATGGTAGCTCTTGAGAAGAGCTTAGCAGCCCTCAGAAATCTGGGGACCTTCTGGGGAAGGTTAACAAACGCTCTCTGTGAGTGTGCCAGGATTCTCTGTCTCTGAGGAAGCCAAAACGTAGCTGAATGGATGGGTGTACTGTTGGTGATCCTTGAGAGACCACAAGAAGACTCTCCCTTGGCCTCAGCAGGTGACTGGCATCCTGTTTATTTCTCCACTGCTGCTTCATGAAGAGTAGAGACTATTTCAACTTCCGTTACTTGTAAAATTATCAACACTTGAAGTACCTCAGCATTCAAGGCTGAGCCCCAAAAAGCCAATGAGAAAAGCAATAGCCACCTAAGGAGTCCTAGCAGTTACAGAAAGAGGAGTTATCTGAGAACACACATGCTCGACAGAATAGAACTGCTAGTGGAGAGTGACAACTTAAATCCATAAAAATAGTAAGTACTCAAGGAAATTCAAGGATAAACCTAAACATGAGACTTTGTAGATGAAAAAAAAGAAGAAAAAAGTTTTCCCAATGCAACAGATGAACTCAGACACAAATTATTGTCCTGAAAGTCAAATTATTGTCCTGAAATAAATATTTAAAGTGCAGAGAGAAAAATCCGAAGTTCAAGAAATCGTGAAGGAAAAGTTAAGAAACTTGGAGGTTAGATCTAGAGGATTTAACATACAAATGATAGGAGTTCCAGAAGGAGATAAAAGAACAGATGCAGAAGAGGCCATGATTAAATATTTCTTGAAACTATATCTATTATAATAAATATTTCTTTGATTCTGCTAGTTAAGAGTGTTTATGAGGTTCCAGCCTGTAATCAAGAGAAAAGACACATACTTACACATGTCCTGGTAAAATTCCTGGACTCTTTAAGGGTAAAGATAAATATTATATATATATATATA